TTACATTCCCTCAAATGTCCTAATGCTGTTTACAAACTTAGATTTCTGCCCAAAGCCACACATCTAAAGCAGGTATGAAGTTACACACAAGCATCTGAGAGTCCCAAATCTCTCATACATTACTTGCATAAAATTCCAGTTATAAGAGTTCTTCTTGGCACCCAGATCCTAATAACTAAGTATTTCTGAACTCACATCCAGTCCTTCTGAGATAGGCATTTGGGTGCCCTCTGGGAAGGGCGGTCACCTGCAGACCTTGAAGATAATTCCACTCACTCAGCTGAAGAATCACCTAAAAATCTTGATCAGGAATTGATGGTAGCCCATTCAAACAAATTACACCAAAAAGTGTGTACATAAATGTAAGCATGAGTTCTTTTGAAAAGACTCTATTTTGATGTTTCATACCAATTCCACATTAATATCTCCCCTAACACTTTTTTAAATTTTTTTATTTAGTTATGATAGTCACAGAGAGAGAGAGAGGCAGAGACACAGGCAGAGGGAGAAGCAGGCTCCATGCACCGGGAGCCCGACGTGGGATTCGATCCCGGGTCTCCAGGATTGCGCCCTGGGCCAAAGGCAGGTGCCAAACCGCTGCGCCACCCAGGGATCCCTCCCCTAACACTTTTAAATTATTTTTATTACAATTAAATGTCTATATAAAGATAATGTAATGAATTTTTTCACTAAGCCCTATGCAGTCTTCCCAGTTTGTCCCAATGTGCAATAGATTGTATTATTTTCTGTGTGTTCCACGATGGGAAAATATCGGGAAACACGATGTAAGGAGGGTGTACTATGTGCCAGGCCACTGACCCACACCACCTTACTTCATTCTCACAACAGAAGGGCCAGAAAGAGAGTGGATGGCCCAGATTGAAGCCTCTGACTGCTGGCCAACTGGTTCTCAATAAACATTTGCAAAGAAAGGAATGGCCTGTAGTAACCATTTACACTTTAGTGTGAATTTAGTTTTAGAGTATCATTTCACATCTACTTGTGAAATAAAAGGCAAATGTTTCATTTAAACTGCACCAGTCAGAGATCTCAGGAGTCTGGCTGGTTTCAGCCACACAAATGTTTGGATCCAGAGCTGTAGAATACTCTGGCCTAATTCAGCACTGAGAACACAGGTCTGTTAAGAATTGTGACTGCACTGTAGGTCTGAGGGGAGCCAGCTGCTTCCTGGTGGAAGCCCACTGCTTTACAAAGCACCCCCCCACCACCACCAGCCCTCCCACCGCTGGTGCCATCCACACCCTGCTTTATCTTTTCTGGAAAGTGTGGGAGTTATTACCAGCCAACCTGGCTGCTGTTGGCTGCTGAAGCAAGGCTGCTCTGAGCCTGGGGACCCTTCCTTACACTGTTCCCTATCCCTATCACCCTCCCCACTTGGTCGCATCCAACCAGGTGACTCTAGGCCAGGGAAGGGTCTAGAGTGTTGTTGATCACTGGTCATTCTGGTAACTTCCTGGAGGTCCCATTTTCTATGAGACCCTTTATAAATTCCTCCCTTCTATTTCCAGTTGGAGCAGTGTCCTGTCACTGTAGGACACGAGCCCTCTGGCCCCTGCCACACCCCACTCCTAAGTTCTTAAGAGCAGGAGAGCTTGGTCCAGGGCCCGGCATGCAGGAGATGTACAGCAAAAATGCACATAACAGAACTAAACCTGAATTTTTGCAGAAAGCAGACTTCATGGCTGCTCCCAGAAGACATGTGCCCTGGCAGGGCTTTGCTTCTGGAAACCTGGGCATATACCAAATAGACAGAAGCTAATTAAAGGAACATGATATTTTTTAACCAGTGAGGACATTGCAATTCTTCTCCTGTAACCCTGTGACTGGCATCGTCCCCTCTTCCCACAGCCGCTCCTGGCAGCAGCCATGGGAGCTCAGCTCCAGCCCAGCATGTGTCCCTGTCTGGCGCAGGCTCACTACCAAGGGACTCAGAAAGCTCTGGGCATTCCCAAAAAGGGGTAGAGGGGGCTGGTGATGGCTAGGAGGGCATTAGACAGAGGCCCCTCCTTCCTCCTTCTGGGCAGAGTAGACCTTTTCTCACAGCCTAGGCCCAGCCATCCCCTGGCCACAGTGACAGTGGAGGGACAGAGGGGGTCTCTGCAATACCCATCCTCCTTCCTTCAGCTCTGATTCAACATGCAAACTGCAAAGACACAGTCTGTCCCTGGGTGTGAGGCCGGGGCAAAGCTCTGAGGCAGGGGCCCCTTGCATCACCCCCTGAACAGAAGAAGCCTTCCTTGGTGAGATCCCCAAAGATCCCACCTGGGTGGTGCCACCTGCCACCTCTGACCACCTGCTTTCACCGGGACCCCTCCCAGTGGAGCCCACACGCCACCCAGTGGGGCACTTGGGTAACTGCACTTGGGAAACTCCAACCTGTTTCCCACCTCAACTGGGCTCCTGAGTGATTATCCCTTAAAAGGAGTCTTAATTCTGAAAAGAGAAATATTTCCATCATCTTAATGGCAGTGAGGTTGTTTTCTATCGTTGTGGAAGGAAAGGACTTGACCTCAGGGGTGTCTCCTGGGTTCCTGCCAGTTTCGATTCAACCAGTCAGTAATGATTAAGCTTCATGGGCTTCCAAACCTATTGCTGACGCCGCTCTCACCTGGGCCTCATGGCCGCACCTTACCTCACGTGCCCCTTGAGATGACCTGATGTAAATACACCTTGAAAGTACCACACCTTGGTATGATCACACCTTAACCTCGTTGGCCCTGGAACTAACTTCACTGCGGCGTGACCTCACACTAATGCATCTCCGTCTTGACCTACTGCGCCTAGATATTTTGGTGTGGGGACCCCTGTGCATCCCAGTTTATGGAAAGAACACGTTGTGAAGCAGCAGCATGCCTTGCTTGAGTTCACAGAAAGATATGGAAGCAGCATCCTCTGGACTCTCCTCCCTGCCCTCCACCATCTCCCAATTCAGGGTCCCGGGCAGGTAACTTGGTAGGGTTGACCTTGAGACAATTGCCCACTGCACTGCCTTCTTCCTTGAGGTAAGAATGAGTGCTGGTATAAGGAAACAAAGGCATGAGGAAGGAGGCGCCCACAAAGAGTTACTGCTCCTCTGCCTCCACCTCCCCCAAACCCTGGAGCCAGCATTCTTCATGCTGAGAATAAAGGGGACCCCACCCTGTCACACTCAAGGCCACAGCTGACCTCCTGGCCCCCAAATCCACAGTCCTGAAGGCCAAGTTTGAGTAGCTACCTCAGAAGAGCTCCCTGATTGAGGTTTTCCATTCCATTAGCCCTACTATGTGCTGGACTCAGAACCAGGAGTGGACTGAAGGCAAAGTGGCCAACCCAAGTAGCTCTGATAATACATGGTGCTGCCTACAGCGGGGCCCTACGGGCTTCCAGAGCTGGCCCTGCCCTGGTGGTGGTGGCTGGGCTCTTCTCACTGTGGATGAGGTTCTAGGGTTCTAGGATGGAAGCAGCTGAACTGGAAACCCATGGAAATCCGGGTGTAAAGGATAGAGCAGAGAACAGCCTCTGCTCAGGGTGTGAGGCGTCAGATTATGGGGTAGAAGTGAAGACCGGGAGGGCTCAGAACTTAGCTCTGCCTTGGGTCCCTGCAGACTGGCTATGGCCTTTGCACATCCTCCTTGTCCACAGTGCTGGGGCAGAGCTGAGGCTAGTGGGGGCGACCAGGGAGGGTAGGGAAGAGCAATGATGGTAAAATATCCAAGAACCAAACTCCTGCCCTTGAAAATCTCCTAGTCTAGTTGGGGAGACCCCACAGCACATGGGGCAACCCAGTGGGACAGCAGCACACAGCCCTGGTGCAGCCCTGCCACCCAAGGAGGCAGTGATTAACTCCAGGGGATGAGAAAGATGACCTGCAAGATTAACCTGAGTTTTTCACGTAGACAAGAAGGGTGGGGTCTTCATGTTCCCAGGAGGAAGGAACAGAATGTCCCACACACGCATGGAAGCAGCAGTGGGACTCAGCTGGCCAGAGCAACTGCCCTGACAAGCTAGGACTGCCAGGCTAGGCCAGAGCAGGGGGGCAGCTGGACATGGGATAAGGGTCACACCCGCATTTAGGGCCTGGGAAGCCACTTCCTGATGGGTTTGGACTTGATTTTGACAACAGTGAAGGATTTGGGGATAAGGAAGGACCGAATATGATCTGCGGCTGGAGGACTGGCCGAGTGTTCCTGGAGGCAGTGCCTGGCTCTGGGACCCCGGGTCCTGCGATACCCAGTGATGAGGGACTAGAAGGTCTCTGAGCCTGGGGAGAGCCATACACAGACAGGAGAGCTGGAGAGCTGCCCCTCAGGGCTGGAAGGTGCTGGCAGGCTGGCCAGTATGGCCACTGCTGGTGAACTTAGGGGAGCTGGGGCTCAAGGCCAAGTCTACCCAGGGTCATCGTGGGGCACCTTGCAGTGTGGCAAAACAGAAGGACAGCACTCCATCAAGAAGAGTGGGAATGGGGATCCCTGGGTGGCGCAGCGGTTTGGCGCCTGCCTTTGGCCCAGGGCGCGATCCTGGAGACCTGGGATCGAGTCCCACGTCGGGCTCCCGGTGCATGGAGCCTGCTTCTCCCTCTGCCTGTGTCTCTGCCTCTCTCTCTCTCTCTCTCTCTCTCTATCATAAATAATAAATTAAAAAAAATTAAAAAAAAAAAAAAGAAGAGTGGGAATGAGTCAGAGGGCTGGACAAGGGGTCCAATGTGTCTATGGGGGCATCTTCTCCTCCCCAGCCCAGCTAGTGTACCCCATCCCCAGCTTTGCCTAAATTGGAGTTTGTTTTCTGGAACTTGCATTCAAACTGTCCCTCCTGAAGTGGACGTGACACAAGCCCCAAGCCCTGGAGACAAACTTGAGCACCCTTGCGGCTGCCCCAGGAGCAAGGCTGGTGGGCTGGGCCCTGAAACCCTCTCCCTGGGGGGCTCCTGGTGAAACTGCTCTCAGGATGTGTGGAATGGTGGCCAGTTCTGGCTGCTAACATCATGAAAGTGACCAACTCAATACTTTTTACCTACAAACAACTTTTATTTGGATATGGCTACTTGGTAAATATTGAACAGTAATCACCCCAGGCAATAAAATGAGGGATAAATGGTGGCTTTTCAAGATGGTTGGAAAGTGAGTGGTCAACAAAAATGAGCCAGAGTTTTCTCTTTGGTGGCTTTCTGTACCCGCCCTCTACACCCCCAGGAGCAGAAAAACATTGGTACAAAACTGTAAGCCCTAGAATTGGCTAAGACTAGTCCCTTTCACGTAATAATTTATTTCATTTCAAAACCATAGCAGACACATGCTGGGCCCTCCTTGCCTAGGGTCGGGAGACTCAGGATATAGACAAAGGCTGGGGGCTGGTGCCCCTGCACCAATGAAGAGATGCCAGAGAGCACAGCTTTCTTTTGAAAAACATTTACTTTGAAATCAAACACCTCGATTTTATGCTTCTGTGTGTGGAACGCCAGCCTTTTCTTTGAGAATGGCCCCAAATCACAAATGCCTTTGCACATCCAGATGTGTGAACCGTTCACTGCATGAGGCCCTGAGCCCCACCAGCTGGCACCACTCAAGGGAGTGCAGGGGGAGTGGGTGCAGGTGGAAGACCACAGAACATGGGATGGGGGGCGGGGGGTCCTTTCCAGCCTTCTGAGATGTCCCACATGTCAGGACAGAAGGCCACAGAAGAATCCTTGCATGGAACGTCCTGCCTCCTTCCTTGATGGTCATTTCTGAGCGAAAAGGTGGCTTCTGGTCCTTAGGAGGAGGGCTTCTGGAGGCCTGGCGCAGGAGTCCTGTAGCCCTGCAGTTTTCTGACAGGCCTGACTTCCGGAGAAGTGGAGAAGCAGGCCGCATCTCCCTCTCTCCCCTTCTCCCTCCCTCAGGTCTTACTGCATCACAATTTTGTAGAGTCAGTCACTTATTTTTCCCACAAATCTACCCTCAAAGTTGCTTTTATGAAAATTTTCTTTGGATCCCAAAACTGGGGAGGAAAGGGAAGGGGGTGTGGGATGGGGGGGGGCAGTGTGGCTGGTCCCTGTCAGCTCCCCCAGGGAGAGGGAGAGAGGGTTTGGACCATTGCTCCAAAGCAAAGGCAGAACCAGGCACCAGGAACCAGGTCTGTGGGTCTCTTCAGATCTGAAGGCATTGACAGCACCATTTTGATTGTCAAAGAACAAGACTGCATGCTCCCTTCAACCTGCCGTAGGGAACCTCATGGCTGAGTGAGAATCCCCAAACTGGGTGCGACAATGGCAGATCTGGGATTCTCAAAGGTGGCAAGGGCTTCAGATTATTAGTTTTCCAACAGAGTGAGGTTCCCTGTCGGGGAGACATTACTTTTCCAGGCAAAGACCAAACCAAACCAACAAACAAGCAAACAAGCCCCCTCCCCAGCTTTTTCATATTCGCCATAATGAATGAAAATGTCCAAGCTGATAGGCCAGAGTGCGATCTCATCCCTCAGTCTGAGCGGCTGGTCTGTCCTTCCCATCCATGTCCTTGTTGATCTTCTGTTTGTCATCCAGATGGCGAATGTTGAAAGCTACTTTCGGGAGCCGATAATCCAGGTGTCGAGGGGGCACCTCTCCCTGCAGCCGGGCTCCCTGCGCGTCAATGGTAGTAGATGCTGAAGGCGTGGAGGATGTAGAGCAGGGCGGTGATGAAGGCGAAGAACTGGAGGAAGACGGGAGGCTCCTGTGTTAGCGATGGCCAGGGCCGCAGGCCGCCCCCCTCCATCCCGGGGGCCCCCAGCGCTCGCAGCTTGGAAGGCCACCTGTTCTGACCCTGCCTCCCCTGCCTGCCCCATGCTGGCCCGGCCACTCCACCCTCCTCAACACTCGCCATCCCCGGGGGGTCGGAGGCTCCGACTCTCCTGGGCACACGAGTCTCCTGCATCTGCGAGCAGCAGGCTTGCTGCATCCCCGCCTGGGCCCTGTGTCTCTCACTGTCCCCTTGTCCCAGCGTTTCTGGACGCCGACCACTCCCACACGTCCATCCGGTAGCCCAGCACTCTGCGCTGAGCGCCTGCTCCGTCAGCTCCTTGTGAATGCTTCGGAGGCCCCTCCAGCTCTCTGTGGTCCAGACTGGACTCCTGAGCTTTCCTCCCTAGCCTCACGAGCTCAGGGGGCGCCATGACCCTCATCTCATCCCACTGCCCGACGGAAACCAGCCTGATGCCTCCCTTCCCCCACTGCCGTGTCCAAAGCCACCCCCAAACCCATCTGCATGTACTGCCTGGCCATCTCCTGGTATGCCCACTCCTTCCTCGTCTCCATCGCTGTCATCCCTCACCCTCGCCAAGATTTCTCGTGGCCTTGACTTGTCCACTTCTGCTATTCTTCCCCTCTAATCTGTCCCAAGAAGAAGCTGTGATCTTGTTGCTCCCATCATGTAGTTGAAACTGTGTGAGGAGTCCCTGCTTCTCAGGGTAGAGGCCATTGCCCTTAACAGGCCTTCCAGGCCTGGATGACCATTCCAGCCTCACTTTGCCCCACTGTCCACTTACACCCTCTTCTTGTTCATTCATTCATTCAACGAATATCTTTCAAACACCTGCTATATTTCCAAAACAACAGGTGCTGTATCAGTGAACAAAATATTCAAAAATTCCTATTCTCACAGTGCTTACATTCTAGTGGCAGAAGCAGAAAATAAGCAAAATAAACCAGTAGAGTAGCAGGTTTGATGGGGATGAATGCCCAGGAGAAAATAAGCCAGAGAGAGTACAGGGCCTGCTTGGAAGGGGGAAGGGCAAGGCCTCCCCGAGAAGGTGGTCTGTGAGAAGGGAATAGAAGGAGGTGAGGGGTTTGCCTCCTGGAGAAACGGTGTCCCTGCCAGGAGGAGGTGAGAGCAGGTGTCGTGTGTTCAGGCAGCAGCATGGAGGTCAGCCTGGCTGGAGCATCTGAGCAGCAGGAGAGAGGCCAGAGGGTGCCAGGCCAGACCGTGGGAGGGGTATTGCCAGGCAATACCGTGTGGGTATTGCTGGAGTCGGGAGTTTAGGGGAGTTAAAATAGTTGGAGGAGGGGGGCACCTGGGTGGCTCAGTGGTTGAGCATCTGCCTTTGGCTCAGGTCGTGATCTTGGGGTCCTGGGATCGAGTCTCCCTCTGCCTGTGTCTCTGTCTCTCTCTGTGTGTCTCTCATGAATAAATAAAATCTTTTTAAAAAGTTGGAGGAGGAGGGAAAGGCAGCTGGAATACCTTGTGGCCATCCTAGTGCCTGACTGGCACCCCATTCTTACAATGGGGAATGGCACCTCACCCCGTAACCCTTCCTGCTGCCACCTGATCCTTGCTGGAACTCCCACGCTGACACAGGCCTTGACCTTTCCGGGCACAGTGACTGGTCACTGTTGGGTTTATACCCAGTCTGGGTGCTAGATCCTTTCTGAGAAGTTTACAAAGTGGGAATAAGGGAGGTTAGACCACTACAGAAGAGGAAGCTGCTGGCTGTGAGCAAGCTGCCAAGTGAGGGCGCCATTCCACTGAGGGAGAAGTGAGGGGGCGCCTAGGAAGGCAGGCAGGCTGGCTGAGTCTCTGGTCCTAGTGGACCTACGGTCTTGGAGGTCCTGCTCTCCCTACGACTGGCTGGACCACCTGGCTCTGGATTCCGTCAGCCAACAGCCCTGTGGACTTCTGTCACTGAAATAAAAGGACACTGGAACAGTTTGGGCATGCTGAGGAATTCGGGTTCCTGTCCAAAGCAGTGGGGGCCATGGAAGGATTTTCAATAGGAGAGAGAGAGATGCGCTCCAATTCGTGAAGGCGATATACTGGGTGTACAAGTGAGCAAGGCAGAGGCGGGAAAAGCAGGAGATGAGAGATGACACCTGGACCTGTGCTTGGTACCCTTTGAGCTTGTGCCCGGCTGTTTACACGTACACACACGCACACACAGACACATACACAGACAGAGAGACATAGACACAGACATACAGACATACATAGCGACACACACACACAGACACATAGACACACACAGACACATAGACACACACACATACACCGCACACACACCTCCTGTCCCTCAAGGCCTCTTCAGCCTGAGGCTCAGGGTCGCCCGGCCTGCAGGAGGCAGAGCTGAGCCTCCTGCGACGCGCTCCCCAGGGGCTCGGTGTTCTGTGCAGCACTCACCGAGGCCGCAGTGTTTACGAAGTAGTTATTCAGGTCCTGGGTCTCAGACACGATGGTGGCGTGTGCTTGTAAGACAGCGGCACTCATGTACAGGATGCCAGTGGTGCCGTGGTACAGGCTGTCCTGCAAAGGCAGAGGCGGGGCACAGCCAGTGTCAGGTGGGTACTTCAGCAGGTGACACTTGCCTCTCTGACTAGACAGCTGGGAGGAGTGAGCAAAAGAGATAAGCCTGCTCCCCAGACTCCTGCTTTTTTTTCTGCAGTGTTTCTGAGGATCTATCGATACGTTGAACAATGATGGATTAATAAACGCCAACAATGATATCAATATGAGCCAACATTTGGCTGAGTGCTTATTCCATGTTAAGCCTTTTCTCAGGTAGCTCATGTAACCTTGTCAACTGTGACAAGGCACTACTTATCATCAGTACTATTCCATTCTATATACCCTTCAGTATCCCTCCAAAAAATATGCACACTTTCTTACATTATCATGCTTATATGAAGTTATTAACAATAATTCCTTGGTACCATCTAAGACCCAGGCCATATTCAGATTTACCCAGTTACACCTGAAATGGAAAGCTCAAATGAAAAGGAAATAGAGGCTCAAAGTTAAGGTTAGTGAATAAATAGCTGAGTCAGGATTTGAACCCAGGCCAGATTAACTCTGAGCCTATGCTCGTAACCATTAGCATTATACAGACCTGCAATGGGATGCCTGGGTGGCTCAGTGGTTGAGTGTCTGCCTTTGGCTCAGGGCATGTTCCTGGGGTCCTGGGATCAAGGTCTGCATCAGGCTTCCTGCAGGAGACTGTCTCTGCCTATGTCTCCATCTGCCTGTGTCTCTGTGCCTCTCTCTGTGTCTCTCATAAATAAGTAAAATCTTTAAAAAGTGGTAACCAATTCTGGAAGGAACGTCATCATAGGCAAATTGGCATTTTGCAACCCCTGATGAGATATGCAGTTCAGGCACTCATTAAGAGTTGAAAAAAAGCGTTTGGGAAAAAGTTGATGGGGGCAAGCCTGTCACACTGGAAGAGGGGCCACCAGTCACCGTGTGTGATGTGACTGGAAACACTTAACAAAACGTTGTTGCCAGAAAGGTTAACCTATCTTCAATTCAGGGACTTGGAGGAGCAAGTCACATCACACCAGGAAGAAGCCAACAGACAAACCCAAAATGTCAGATCTTCTATAGGACAGCTGACTCTCCTTCTTCAAGGAGAAGGTCACTGGCAGGGAGAGCCATCCTATAGATTAAAGATACCCAAGAACCATAACTACCACGTGTAGCACATGGTGCCTGTGAAGATCCCTATCAAACAGGCCAACTGTAAAAAGACATTTCAGGTGTAACTGGGTAAAGCTGAATATGGCCTGGGTCTTAGACGATACCTAGGAATTATTGATAATAACTTCAGATAAGCATGATAATGTAAGAAAGCGTGCATATCTTTTGGAGGCATCCTGAAGTGTGTAGAATGGAATGATATGATGTTTTGGGTTTGCTTTAAATTCCTTTAGGAAAAAAAGGCTAAGTGCAACAAGTGTGGTGATATCTTACTAGTGCAGGAATCTGGGTTATGGTTACTTAAGGGTTCACAGGATGATGTTCCTTGCTTTTGTGTATATTCCAAATTGTTTAATAACAGAAAAATTTTAAATGATTACCAAGATGATGTGACATGAAAACAATTTAATGACATAATATTAATGAAAGAATTGACATCCAAAATTAATGGTTCAGTGTGATTATATGTACATTTTTACATAAGATTTGCAAGGAATATAGGAATCACAGTGGGATTGGGGTGATTTCCCTCCACCCACTATCATTTCCTTTAATGCTGCTCCAACAGTTTAACCATAAATAAAATTTAAAGGGAAATGAGTCAGGATGTGCTTGATATAGGATATATATATTCCTAAAATGGAAGACAATGGAAGGGAATACGATGAAAAATTTACTGTGGCAGAGGAATGTTTTCATTCTGGCTTAATAGTAAACACATTAAAGTAAAAAGTCTTGGTTCCAGAGTGGCCCAGTCCTGAAAAGGCCTCTGGTGCCTGGTCTCTGGTTCTCCCTCCCAGCCCAGAAGGCCCAGGATGGACATCAGGAGGAGCCCAGGGGCCTGGGTCACTCCCTCTGGTTCTTACCAGGACTCTCCAGGACTGGTATCTTTTGTAAAATCCAAACAAGTAAGACAACAGGAACATCAGGGAGATGAGAAATGAGGTGAGTGAGACATATAGCACCCATCCTTGCAGTAATGGGTTCGCTACGTGGGTGGCAGCTACCAGGATCCAGACCCAGCACCCAAATATCTGTAAGAAAAAAACAAAAGAAGAGCTGTCATTTGCTTGTGGAGGGTATACTTTCCTTTGCAGGGCATCTCTTCTCCTCTGTCTAGTTAAAAACTCTTCATGTGAAGTTAGGTGTGAACCAAGAGGGAAATAGAGAAGGAAGACTGGCCCTGGGGAAGAGTGGATTTTTTTCTTTTTTAGAAAATTCAAGTGGTTAACACAGAGGCACAGAGGTCACTGATAGAAGGACTTGGGTAATTTGGCCTATGGATTATGTCTTCTTGGCACAAATCATGTTGGCATACAAAATTTTTAAAAACATTTCTGAATAAGTTGCCAATATTTAAAATAGGATATTTCATGTGAAAAATTCAGATTGCAGACGTTTCTTGAGAAATCCATAGTACTAGTGAGCACACTCCTAGGCCAGAGTAGGTTGAAATGAGATGTGACCATTTCTTTAAAAAGGACCTAGAGTTCTCAGTGGACCACCTCTTCTTTACCCCCACACCATTGTGTGGCATGTTTTCTGTTGCTCACTCTCAATATGGAATAGTATTTCCTTTCCTCGGCTCCCTTTACCCACTCACAGTGCCCACCTGGCCCTGTGGGCATTTGGTTTGGGTCCCTGGGTGATAGTATCTGACACTCTTGTGGCCAGATACCAGTTGGGCAATACCATTCCAGTTTAATCACTTCTTTGCTCTGTACAGCCTTTTATTATCCCCTTGGTGGAGAAACCAAAACTTTTCCCAGTTCTCCCTGCGCTCTGCCTTTGTTTGCTTTTGTGCTGGATTTATACCCATGTTGGTCAGCCCAGGGAAAGAACTAAATGTTCACCAGATAGCATGATCAGTTAGAGGCCTGAGGGAGAGGGTCAACATGAGAGCACCAAGTGGTTTTGCTGTTGATTTGTCTCAGACTTTCTCTATTCCTCTACTTTCTGGGGTCCCCTTAGGATGTCCTTGTGAGCCTCCTTGGTTTTCTCTCTCCTCACTCCTGTTAAATCTCTTCTTCTTCTTCTTCTTCTTCTTCTTCTTCTTCTTCTTCTTCTTCTTCTTCTTCTTCTTCTTCTTCTTCTTCTTCTTCTTTTCTTCTTCTTTTTAATCTATGCTTCTAAGTGCCATATAGGCTGACCTTCAGTCCCATATATACAGTTGCTCACTGTATGTCTCTATTCAGATGTTCCATTGCAGGGGCCAACCTTGTGCTTGTAGAACCCTGAGAGTGAGTGCCTTATTAAATCTTGCACCTCGAGCACCTCATTTGCCCCACCCCAGCCCTGGATTTGCTCCCTCAAGCTCCTCAAATCCAACAGATACAAAATTAGAACTCATTGCTACTCCTCAATACCCTCAGAAACTGTTCTCCTCAGGACTTTCTGAGAATGGCCCTTCTGAGGGAGAGAGTGATGGGATTGGGAATGAGTGTACTGAGACCTCCAAAGATAGTCATAATGTTCTGTTTCTTACATGGCATCATTGGTAATTTTTTCTTTTATAAAGCAATAAAATAATTTTGAATAAAAAAAGAGAATGTGTTGGATTAATAGACCACCACTGGAGATTTGTAGTGATGGAAAGAGAGAGCCAAGGATGGCTCCCAGGTTTGTGGTGTGGAGGAATCACACCACCAGATTTTATTTATTTGTTTGTTTGTTTATTTATTTATTTATTTAAAGATTTTATTTATTTATTCATGAGAGAGAGAGAGAGAGAGAGAGGCAGAGACACAGGCAGAGGAAGAAGCAGGCTCTACTCAGGGAGCCCAACATGGGACTCAATCCCGGGTCTCCAGGATCAGGCCCTGGGCTGAAGGCAGCGCTAAACCGCTGAGCTACCCAGGCTGCCCATACTACCAGATTTTAAAACTTTCTGTAAATCTACAGTAATCAAAAGAGTTGTCAATGCAGATGGCCCACATTTCTGCCCATTCTCAGGAGATAGCTCATCCTCTTCCCTAATTCTGTTGCCTTCCACACAGATTTTAGCTGCAGACTGTCAATATGTAGGATATCTATCTGTTGGGATTTTGTGTTAGATCTATAGATCAGTTTGGGAGAGAACTGACATCTTTCTGAGTTTCCCAATCCATGAACATGGTATGCTTTTCCAATTATTGAAAAGTTCTTTGACTTCTTTTACCAATATTTTGTTATTTTTAGCATACAGGTACTACACACACATATCCTATATTTATGCCTAACTATTTTATTTTGGGAGCTATTGTAAATAGTATTGATTTTTACAAATTTCTTTTCCCAATTGTTCAATGCCAGTAGATAGAAACATGATCTGTTGTTTTGTGTGTTAACATGGTATCCTGCACTTGGTAAACTCATTAGTGCAAGAAGAGTTTTTTTTTTCCTTTTCTTTTGTTCTTTGGTATATTCCTTGGGAATTTCTATATATCTAATTAGATTTTAATTTTTTATGATTATAGATAACAATGAGCTTACTTTCACATATTTCATCCTCTGTAAAATTAAAAAAATTTTTATTGGTTACAAATTTCTTGTGGGTTTGCCTTTTTCTTTTTGATTCAGAGTAATTCTAATAGTGTGGATCTCATTGAATATTACAACATTGCAAATATATTTCCCCAGTATGTTTCTCACACATTTTATGATGCCTTTTGATGAAATGAGTTCTTAATTTCAATGTAACTGAATATGTTTATCTCTTCCTTTACAGACTGTGATTTTTGATCAAGTTTAAGAAACCTTTCCCTACTTTGAGTCATGAATATATTCTTGTATTTCAGATACTTCTTCTGGGATCACTTTCTTCCCTCCTGCAGTACAATCATTACTAGTTTCTTTAAGAAAGGGCAGTTGGTAGTAGCCAGTTTGATTTGTCAGAAAATGTTATTTTTCCCCTGATAATTATTTCCTTTCAGCACTTCTATTTTCCCGCTGTGTTCTACATCTTCCTATATTATTCCGTTATATTCCAGCTGCCATTGTTGCTGCTGAGAGGAGAGCTGTCTGTTGCACTGCTGGGCTTCTGTAGGAATCTGTCTTTGGTATCTGATTGCTTTGGGAGTCTTCTTTCTGCCTTTGGTGCTTTGCAGTTTGTGCAATAGTTATACAATGTGTTGAAGTATGGGTGTCTTTGTATTATATTTGCATGGTATTAATTTCATATTCAATATCTGATAATTCCATTTTCTCAGTCTTGGTGCTTGATTGTGCAGCTTGTGGATTCTGTTAACTTTCATTCCCGCTCACTTTTTTCTTCCTATGTTTGGTAAATTTTGGTTGTCAATGACTGTGAGAGTAGGTCATTTCTGAATGATGCAATTAGAGAACTTCCAGACTAAACAAATTCATGTAACGTCTGTCTAGTTTAGCTGAAAGATATGCAACTGTCAGTTCTGATTTTCATAACATATCCCTGCCTTTATGAGACTGGCAGTTCTCATCTTACAAATAAACAATACATAGACATAAATATGTCAACCATCCTTTATGAGGCTTCCACTGCTATTATTCTGGAGAAGAAAAGTACTTTTGAAATTATAGAGATTTCATGGGCCCTTAAGAAAAGGAAAAGGAGGTGAGAAGCCAAAGTAGACTAAGAGGGTGACCATAAAGCTCTTGCTGGACTGGACAACACCTCCAGACACCTCTTGAAGCTTGGCCTTCACTTAAAGTACCAGCTCTGGGAGTACATTTCCTCAGACTCTCTTTTTTTTTTTTTTTTTTTGAGAGAGAGAGAGAGAGCATGAGCTGGGGCCAGGTGGCAGGGGCAGAGGGAGAGGGAGAGAGAGAGAGAGAACCTTAAGTAGACTCCATGCTCAGTGTGGAGCTCAACACAGGGCTCAATCTCACAACCCTGAGATCATGACCTGAGCTGAAATTAAAGTTGGGTGCTTAACAAACTGAGGCACTCAGGTGTCCTCACATTTCCCCAGATCTTAATAATCACTGTCCCCATGAATTTTGGAAATCTTGGGTTGGGTCTGGGGCTGCCTGAGTGAGTTGGCTAACTTATCCCAAAGAGGGGTTGTTGAGGGACAGAAGCCATTGTCTCCCCTGAACTGGGCTCTTGCATGTTAATCTCAGTGATAGGGGCTGCTGGTGCTTTTGGGCACCTGCCAAGCATCCTCCCCATCAATACTTGGGACATGCATAGAAATGCTTGCACACTGTCAACACCCAAACAATGCTAGCTAGTAGTGGGAATGATATTTGGGATTTAGTGATTGCACCAGAACTTGTAAAATCCTAGACTCACATTAGACTTCTGAGGGCAGATAATGCTCTGTGCTGTTCTCTGCTATATTCATGGTGCCTAGCATAGGGCCTAAAACAAAATGGGTGGGGATGGAATCAAAGAACATTCTTTAGAGTGAATCAATGATGACATGACTACCACCTCAGTTTATGAAATGTATCCGCTCAGATGGCCTCATTTAGTCTCTGTGGCAATTCTAACTCCCTTGAGCTTTCTGAGACCAGAGAGCTGACATTTGATTCCTGCCACTGATTATTGCCAGTTCACCTCTGCTAGACCTGGGGGTGTGTCAGGGTGCCTCAGCACCACTGTGCCTGTCAGTGCCTGCAGAGAGGTCTGCCCCTGCCTCCCCTCCTGCCATCAGAGACTGCCCCTGGGCAGACATTGCCAAATGCACATTATTTATGTGTCAGCACTAAATTCTCACCACACTGTGACGTGGTGCCATATTGGAGAGGCCTGAGCCTTAGATCACATGGAACGTGGAGTAGGACAGCTCTGGATCTCTTCTCACAACAGTGTTCACCTCTGAGGGCAGGGGCCTCTGAGCATTTGGGTAGCTACTCAAATTGCTTAGAATCTTCTGAAATGGCTTTAGTGTTGCATAATCAATGTGACGCAGACGAATGTTATTTTTTATTTCCACACCCTCTACCTTCTGGACAGAAGAAGGGACCAGGGCCAAGGACAAACTCCAGGTGAATTTAAACTTAGTATTTGTTAGCTCATTTCTGCCCCAAATAGTCTAGGTTGAATTCTTTATAGGTTAGGCAGTTTCAAGTA